TGCATGACTGCTGATGCACATGCTACTTTTGGCACTGCAAAGGGGCAGAACAGGGTGGAACAGGTGTTTGGCATGGCATGGAATGGTGCCACACTTGTAGAATTCAGTGGGGAAATGTGTTGGTATTGCATACTCTTGAGTAAAGGTAAAGGTAAAGGGACCCTGACCATTAGGTCCAGTCGTGGCCGACTCTGGGGTTGCGGCGCTCATCTCGCTTTATTGGCCGAGGGAGCCGGCGTACAGCTTCCGGGTCATGTGGCCAGCAGGACTAAGCCGCTTCTGGCGAACCAGAGCAGCGCACGGAAATGCCGTTTACCTTCCTACTGGAGCAGTACCTATTTACCTACTTGCACTTTGACGTGCTTTCGAACTGCTAGGTTGGCAGGAGCAGGGACCGAGCAACGGGAGCTCACCCCGTCGCGGGGATTCGAACCGCCGACCTTCTGATCGGCAAGTCCTAGGCTCTGTGGTTTAACCCACAGCGCCACCCGTGTCCCATTGACTCTTGAATACCTCCAAGGGAAAAAATACTGCCTGTACTAAACTTTTGGTGGAGTCAAGAGCTTAAGAAGACACCTGTTGGATCAGGCCCAAGGCTCATCCTAGTGTTGCATCCTGTTCGCACAACCGCCAACCAAATGTCAAGAGGATTGACCACAAGCAGTGATCAATATAACCTAAAGTGTCATGGAATTCTACTCAGTATCGATCCAGAGCAGATTCCAAGGTATAGTTAGCAGAGTAACAACTTAAACACATTGCAGGATTCCCCCAAAAGTAGACCAGAGGCCACTGTATTTCATCCAGCAGAGCTTTACTGCTACTGAAGGCAAATGAGCATAATGGTCACAAATCCAAATACATTCAGAACTGGCACTGTCCATAAGAAATCCAGTTGCAGCAGGCTTAAACTTAAACTTACAATAACTGATAACACGTTTTTGTCTACTTGAAGAAGCCATGGTCCGATCTGAAAAATACAAATATTTAGGATACAAAACTGTAAAAATAAAGAAAAATTAAGTTTGCAAAACAATAATTACCATGTAGTTAGGGTAGATCAACGTGTCAGGGTCCACTTATCCCCAGTGTAAATATGACATATCGGCAAAAGTCGGAAATTGAAAGGTAGCCATAGCATGTACACGAAAATCAATTTCAGATTTGAAATCAGCATTGGAAGAACATATAAGAACGGTTGAAAAATCTCATGCAAAAGAAAATGAAAAAAAAATTTTCCCCAGTCCCGTGGTACCTCGGGTTACATACGCTTCAGGTTACATACGCTTCAGGTTACAGACTCTGCTAACCCAGAAATATTGCTTCAGGTTAAGAACTTTTCAGGATGAGAACAGAAATTGTGCTCTGGCAGTGTGGCAGCAGTGGGAGGCCCCATTAGCTAAAGTCGTGCTTCAGGTTAAGAATAGTTTCAGGTTAAGTACAGACCTCCGGAACGAATTAAGTACTTAACATGAGGTTCCACTGTACACTGTGTATCCCAAGGGAATACATTTTTTTGCATACCTCCAACTGTACATAGAGATACATGTCATTTTCAATGCTATACATGTCACGTTCAATGCTATATAAGTCACTTACACTAATACTCATATTGTACTAGAATCATAGAATCATAGAATCATAGAATCATAGAGTTGGAAGAGACCACAAGGGCCATCGAGTCCAACCCCCTGCCAAGCAGGAAACACCATCAGAGCACTCCTGACATATGGTTGTCAAGCCTCTGCTTAAAGACCTCCAAAGAAGGAGACTCCACCACACTCCTTGGCAGCAAATTCCACTGTCGAACAGCTCTTACTGTCAGGAAGTTCTTCCTAAGGTTTAGGTGGAATCTTCTTTCTTGTAGTTTGGATCCATTGCTCCGTGTCCGCTTCTCTGGAGCAGCAGAAAACAACCTTTCTCCCTCCTCTATGTGACATCCTTTCATATATTTGAACATGGCTATCATATCACCCCTTAACCTCCTCTTCTCCAGGCTAAACATGCCCAGCTCCCTTAGCCGTTCCTCATAAGGCATCGTTTCCAGGCCTTTGACCATTTTGGTTGCCCTCCTCTGGACACGTTCCAGTTTGTCAGTGTCCTTCTTGAACTGTGGTGCCCAGAACTGGACACAGTACTCCAGGTGAGGTCTGACCAGAGCAGAATACAGTGGCACTATTACTTCCCTTGATCTAGATGCTATACTCCTATTGATGCAGCCCAGAATTGCATTGGCTTTTTAGCTGCCATGTCACACTGTTGGCTCATGTCAAGTTTGTGGTCAACCAAGACTCCTAGATCCTTTTCACATGTACTGCTCTCAAGCCAGGTGTCCCCCATCTTGTATTTGTGCCTCTCATTTTTTTGCCCAAGTGCAATACTTTACATTTCTCCCTGTTAAAATTCATCTTGTTTCTTTTGGCCCAGTTCTCTAATCTGTCAAGGTCGTTTTGAAGTGTGATCCTGTCCTCTGGGGTGTTAGCCACCCCTCCCAGTTTGGTGTCATCTGCAAATTTGATCAGGATGCCCTTGAGTCCATCATCCAAGTCGTTGATAAAGATGTTGAATAAGACCGGGCCCAAGACAGAACCCTGTGGCACCCCCACTAGTCACTCTTCTCCAGGATGAAGAGGAACCATTGATGAGCACCCTTTGGGTTCGGTCAGTCAGCCAGTTACAAATCCACTGAGTGGTAGCATAGTCAAGACCGCATTTTACCAGCTTCTTCACAAGAATATCATGGGGCACCTTGTCAAATGCCTTGCTGAAATCAAGGTAGGCTACATCCACTGGGTCCCTTCATCTACCAGGCTTGTAATTCTGTCAAAAAACGAGATCAGGTTAGTCTGACATGACTTATTTTTCAGAAATCCATGCTGACTATTGGTGATCACAGCATTCCTTTCTAGGTGATCACAGACTGTTTGCTTAATGATCTGCTCCAGAATCTTCCCTGGTATTGATGTCAGACTGACTGGGCGGTAATTATTTGGGTCCTCTCTTTTCCCTTTTTGAAAATAGGGACAACATTTGCCCTCCTCCAGTCTGCCGGGACTTCGCCTGTTCTCCAGGAATTCTCAAAGATGACTGCCAGTGGTTCTGAGATCACATCTGCCAGTTCTTTTAATACTCTTGGATGCAGTTCATCTGGCCCTGGAGACTTGAATACATCTAAACTAGCCAAGTATTCTTGTACTATCTCCTTAGTTATTCTGGGCTGTGTTTCCTTTGCTGAATCATTTGCTCCAAATTCTTCAGGTCGGGCATTGTTTTCTTTATCGGAGAAGACTGAGGCAAAGAAGGCATTGAGGAGTTCAGCCTTTTCTGTGTCCCCTGTTTGCATTTCACCATCTTCTCCTCTGAGTGACCCCACTGTTTCTTTGTTCTTCCTTTTGCTACGAACATACCCATAAAAGCCTGTTTGTTGCTTTTAACCTCTCTAGCAAGCCTGAGTTCATTCTGTGCTTTAGCTTTTCTGACTTTGTGTCTACACGTGCTGGCTATTTGTTTGAATTCCTCTTTGGTGGTTTCCCCTTTTCCATTTTTGTACACATCCTTTTTAATCTTAACTCAGTTAAAAGTTCTTTAGATAGCCACCCTGGCTTCTTTAGGCACCTTCCATGTTTCCGTCTCATTGGTATTGCCCGACGTTGTGCTTTTAGTATCTCCCTCTTAACAAACTCCCAGCCGTCATGAACTCCCTTTCCTTTTAGTATTATTGTCCATGGGATCTCACCCAGCACTTCCCTAAGTTTTATGAAGTCGGCTTTCTTAAAGTCAAGAAATTGAGTCCTAGTATGCTTGGCTGCTCCTTTCCGCTGTATAGTAAACTTCAGAAGAGCATGATCACTCGTGCCTAATGATCCTTCCACTTCTACCCCACTAACCAGGTCATCAACATTGGTTAGGACCAGATCTAAAATGGCTGTTCCTCTTGTTGCTTCTCCCACTTTCTGGACAATGAAGTTGTCTGCAAGGCCAGTGAGGAATCTGTTTGACCTTATGCTCTTGGCTGAGTTTGACATCCAACAAATATCCGGGTAATTGAAGTCCCCCATTACTACTATCTCCCTTCCTTTTGCATGCTTGGCCATCTGTTCCAGGAAGGCATCATCCATGTCCTCCGTTTGGCTTGGGGATCTATAGTAAACTCCCACAACGAGGTCACTGTTATTCTTCTCTCCCTTAATTTTGACCCAAAATTAAACACTTTGGCTATGTGTTTAATAAAATATTGAATTCTTGCATTGTGAAAAACAAAGATTATGGTGAAAAGTGAAAAACATGAATTGCAAAAAAAACCCTATAGCTTACAGAACAAAACCAACTTCACATATGAAATCAGCACGTTGACATTAGGTTAGAACAACTGCAGGTGTCAATGCAACAAAAATAGCTCAGGGGCAGATAAGGGGAAATATACAATATACAATGTGACACTAGATGGCGATGGTGAGCCTTATAGAAAATTCAATGTATTTTTAAAAAACTTGTTAAAAAAGAATTCTCAGAACATTTGTTATATGTGTTTTGAATCCACCTTAGATACAAACCTAGGTAATACATATTAGTAACATAACAAATACCTGCCTGTCTTTTATGTTTAATCTAGCAAGGGCAAGTACACCAAGCAAAGGTTATTTATTATTTAAACTGTAAAAGAGAGTGTCTTGCATAGTTTTTATAAAAGTGAAAAGGGAATTAACTAAAGGGTCAAACAACTTGGGCTCTCTTCCACAGAACTCTGTAAATGGGAACTAGAGTTTAATTCTCACAAGATGCCCCTCCCCCTAAATAAGTGTTCACCCTTCATTTTCTACAGTGCCATGGCATGAATTTTATCCCTAGGGGTGGAGAGGAGGGTGTGCTGCGCTTTCAAGGGCAATGATTTGAATGTAGGGCTGGGTCACAAGATTGAAGAGATTTAAGAGCGCAGAGAGACGGGTCTGAAGCAGAAACCTCTGTGCCTTAAGGAGGGAGAGCTCCTCTGCGTTCCCATCATGCTCTGGGCCTGCCTCTTCCTCACTTATTTCTCAGGTAGGAGAGAAAAAAGTGTGTTTTTTCTTTCTTCTGTAGCGACAGACCCAAGAGGAGTCTAACATACCATGATATATTTTTTCCTTTTTCTCTTTCAGGATCTTTGGCCCAGTATGTGTTGACGCAGCCCCCATCAGTGTCCGTTTCTCTGGGACAAGATGTCCAGATCCCTTGTTCCGGAAGCAACATTGGTGTGAAGAGTGTACACTGGTACCAGCAGAAACCCAGCCAGGCCCCTGTACTGATAATATATGCAGACAATCAGAGACCCACTGGGATCTCGAACCGATTCTCTGGCACCAACTCCGGGAACCCAGCCACACTGAGCATTGCCAGAGCCCAAGCAGAGGATGAGGCCGATTATTACTGTCAGGTGTGGGACAGCAACACACCTCACAGTGACACAGGCAGATGGGGAAGTGCGACAAAAACCTCTTGCTGAAAAAGGCAGCTGCTATCATACTCTGTTTTCAGAAGAGCGACCTTCCAGTGGAATTGAATTTTCATGAAAAGAGGCTTATTCTCACCTCCAAACCCCCACTTTCCCTAGAATTACACTTGCTGTTGCCCCTCGCTCCCTCATTCAATGAGGGGAGCAAATGAAGGGGGTTCACTGAGGTAGAGAATTTAGCATAGACTTCAAGTGTGCATCGGAAATAGACAGCAGGTCTATGCTGGGCCACAGAGAGGCTTATTTTGTCATTATTTAGAGCATTTGTACCCTGCTCTTTGGTCAAAGAGGCTCCCAGAGTGGCTTACATACAAGCAATTGAAACCAGACACTCCTTCCCCATAGGGTATAAGCTCAGGAAAACCACGACACACAAGGCGAAAGGAACAGGGAGGGCAGAGGAAAATATACATCCAACTCAGGCACCAATGTCTAAACAGTTGTGCCTATAATGACCAGCTGGCCTAGTTTGGGGGCAGGAAGGAACTGATGGAGTTGGACTTCCAGCAAAGCTGACGAAATGAGCCTTGTTTGCTACTTCTCTCACTGAGGCAAATCTGATGGGATGGCTGCCCCCCCTCCCAGTTGAGGGGAGAGGAGGCCTGAGGGAGCTAGCCTCTCATTTCAAACTGCTGTTCTCTGGCTACGTTGGGCACCACTTATCCTCCGTGTCTGAGCCCCCTTAACTCCATCTCAGTGCTCATAAACGCCACACTTTAACTCTGTGTTAACCTCCATTCGTCTGTCCTTTTTAAAAAAATATTTATTTGGTTTTTCAGATTAAAATTTTTTAGTCACATATCCAACATACAACATAAAAACAAGATTCCAATGAATCTCCTGGACTTCCCTCCTCCCCTTTGTGGGTCCTATTGTTAATCATTTCCTCCTGCATCTTTTATAATAATCCAAATATTTTACCTCTCCATTGTCCAAAATTCATCAATGAACTACAAGTGATATTCTGATCGTACTAATGATTTTAACTGTTTACAATGGACTTTAAGATAAGTTATAAATTTCCCCCCTCATTGAAATTTTGATTTTCCTGATTTCTGATTCTTCTAGTTACTTTAGCTATTTCAGCATAATCCATCAACTTGATCTGCCATTCTTCTCTGGTCAGGACTTTTGTCTGTCATGATCTCCAACCCACATGGACTTCAGATGACGTATTGGGAAAGGGGGCAAAATTAAGTACCCTAAACCATCATGGTGTTTCAATAAACATCTCTAGAGGGTGCTGGCAGACTTGGTAAGATCCACTCTGTGCAACCAGGCAGAGGGGGCTGAAATAGCATGATGCTGGAGTCACTAACCACATCCTCCTCTTTCTCACATGATACGCTGCCACCACATATCCCTTGGGACAGATTATGCATTGGGGAACTGCTCTGGTCAATGCTTTGTTGCTTCGAGAAAACAAGAGTTTAAAACAGGAACACGGGAAGCTGCCTTATACAGTGGTACCTCGGGTTACAGACGCTTCAGGTTACGTGTTTTCGGGTTTCGCACAGAACCAAACCCGGAAGTACCGGAATGGGTTACTTCCGGGTTTGGGCGCTCGCGCATGCATGGAAGCCCTAGTTCGTGCTTTTCACTTGTGCAGAAGCGCCGAATCATGACCTGTGCATGCTCAGACGCGGCACTGCGGGTTGCGAATGATGCGGGTTGCAATCGTGCTTCCCGCCCGGATCACGTTCGCAACCCGAGGTTCCACTGTACTCAGTCCAATCATTGGTTCATCGAGTTCAGTGCTGCCTCCACTGACTGGCAATAGACATAAGATAATATCACCAAGGTAACTGCCAACAAACAACAAACGTATTTTTAATTTTAATTTTCCTTATTCTACTTGCTGATTCAGTGCAATTCTGTTACAATAGTTTTTGACAGCGATGAAACGTGGGTGGAGACTGCCTCTCCATCCTGACCCTTCCAGGGTGGAGGAAGACCGTATAGATCTACAACAGGGGTTTGAGGAAGTCACAACTCAGAGGCAGATGAGGAGGAAAGTTGGGAAATCATGGGAGAGGAGGAGGAGGAGGAGGAGGAGGAGGAGGAGGAGGCTGAAGCGGAGCAACGCCTGGCTGACACAGTGTCATTAGAAAGCATCCCTGACCCTCCATCTCCCAGTACCCGGCAAGCCTTAAAAGTAGGAGAGCAAAGAGCTCAAAGATAGAGGGCACGTAGCAGCACCCGTAGAAGTAAAGAATGAGGAAGTGGAAGAGACGGGGGGTGGAGATTCACTCGGGACAACGCCATTATCCAAGAGGCTGAGTTCTGTAGCCTCTCTCTGTAATATTGAAATAAAAAAATGTGGTAAGAAACCTTTCCTTGTCTTTCTACCTTCCTGGACAACTAGCTGGGAGCCGCTGACACCCCCAGGCTGTGCACTTAAATTCCTTCAGCCAAATTGCCATCTTCATTATAGAACACAGGAAAGTGTTTCATACTGAGTCAGACCATTGGTCTACCTAGCTCAGGATTGCCTAAACTAAGTGGCAGCATCTCCTTGGGTTTTCAGACGCGAAGTCTCTCCCAGCCTGATAATGCCAGGAATTGAACCCGGGAGCTTCTGCACGCAAAGCAGAGGCTCTGCCACCAAACTCTAACCCTTCCTCATGTGCATTGGAGCAGGATCAGCACCCAATCAACAAGAAGCAGATTTGCATGCAGAGAACCCCAGGCAACTTTGGTAGGCTTTAAGAATGGGGAGAAAAGCTATCCCAATGCACCATTTGTCACAGCAAAGATCACTCCTCTGCAATGAACATCATGGCCTGGTTTCCCTTCCTTCTGGCCCTCACTTATTGCTCAGGTGATGAGAGACCCATTCCTCATTTCTTTTGGATGCTAGACTTTCATTTCTCCTATCAACTTATCTGCAGGAAGATTTGTCATTGCATTGTCTTAGACTGGAGTTTGAGCCTTATTAGTTGATATGATGTGCAGTCTAATAAGTCAGTGTTCCTCTCTTAGGAAGAGTTGCATGTATGTGTTTACCAGATTATTTCCACATCTGTGTAACACCATGATTTTTTAAAAATTTTCTTCTTCTTTCAGGTTCTGTTGCCGAGTATGTACTTACACAACCCCCATCTGCCTCTGTGTCTTTGGGGCAAACTGTGGAACTCACTTGCTCAGGGGATAAGTTTGATAGGTACTATGTGCACTGGTACCAGCAGAGACATGGCAGTGCCCCTCAACTGGTTATATATAAGGACAGCATAAGACCTGCCAATATTTCAGACCGCTTTTCTGGAGAGAGCTCTGGCGGCACAGCCACCTTAACCATCACTGATGTCCAACAGCAAGATGAGGCTGACTATTACTGCCAAGTCTGGGACAAAGATGCTAGCCAGCAAGCACAGTGGCCCCATCAAAGGAGGAAGTGAGGCAAAAACCTCCTGCTGTCAAAGAGAAATGTCTATGTTTGTTAGCTGAGTGCAACAGAAATACTGTCACCACTCGCAGCTCCCAGTGATTTGCACTGAGTGGTATATTGCCTCTGATAACGGAGGTAGAATTTAGCTGTCATTTTTGTAGCCATTAAGAGCCTTATCGTCCCTAAGTCCTTCCACAGAGGGACTACATTTTTAAATATATCCTATTTCTTAAAATAAAAAAAGGAAACTCTGCTGAAAGTATAACAGCAGAAGGAGTAGGCCAGGTTAGAACTCTTCCCTGTAATATCTTCGCTTTCTTTTTTAAAGCACTATTTTAAAAATAATATTGGAGCAGCATTCAAAAATGGCACAGATACCTAACTGCAATCAAATGTGAAGGTAAAAATAAAGGACCCCCTGGATGGTTAAGTCCAGTCAAAGGCAACTATGGGGTGTGGTGCTCATCTCACTTTTCAGGCCAACGGGACACCATGACAGTTCGAAGTTTGGCGGTTTGAATCCATGTGATGGAGTGAGCTCCCATTTCTCTGTCCCAGCTCCTGCCAACCTAGCACTTAGAAAGCACACCAGTGCAAGTAGATAAGTAGGTATCACTGTGGCAGGAAGGTAAATGGCATTTCTGTGCCCTCTGGTTTCCATCACGGTGTCCCGTTGTGCCAAAGCAGTTTGTCCTGCTGGCCACATGACCCAGAAAGCTGTCTGTGGACAAAGGCTGGCTCCCTCGGCCTGAAAGCAAGATGAGTGCCACACCCCATAGTCGCCTTTGACTGGACTTAACTGTCCTGGGGTCCGTTACCTTTTTAAAAAAATAACAACCTATGGAGCCCTGGCCAATGGCAAGGGTGATTATTACTGTGCAACGACACATATGGTGATGCAGCCTGATGGGGAACTGAGACAGAAACCTGTATTTCTCTTCCCTAAGGCAAGAATAAATTTAGAATTGTGTTCACTTATGATGCAAACAAACCGTCAAAGTACAGGCACCTCCGCATTTGCACACGATTGGCCCATGCATGACTGCTGATGCACATGCTATTTTTGGCACTGCAAAGGGGCAGAACAGGGTGGAACAGGTGTTTGGCATGGCATGGAATGGTGCCACACTTGTAGAATTCAGTGGGGAAATGTGTTGGTATTGCATACTCTTGAGTAAAGGTAAAGGTAAAGGGACCCCTGACCATTAGGTCCAGTCGTGGCCGACTCTGGGGTTGCGGCGCTCATCTCGCTTTATTGGCCGAGGAGCCGGCGTACAGCTTCCGGGTCATGTGGCCAGCAGGACTAAGCCGCTTCTGGCGAACCAGAGCAGCGCACGGAAATGCCGTTTACCTTCCTACTGGAGCGGTACCTATTTATCTACTTGCACTTTGACGTGCTTTCGAACTGCTAGGTTGGCAGGAGCAGGGACCGAGCAACGGGAGCTCACCCCGTCGCGGGGATTCGAACCGCCGACCTTCTGATCGGCAAGTCCTAGGCTCTGTGGTTTAACCCACAGCGCCACCCGTGTCCCATTGACTCTTGAATACCTCCAAGGGAAAAAATACTGCCTGTACTAAACTTTTGGTGGAGTCAAGAGCTTAAGAAGACACCTGTTGGATCAGGCCCAAGGCTCATCCTAGTGTTGCATCCTGTTCGCACAACCGCCAACCAAATGTCAAGAGGATTGACCACAAGCAGTGATCAATATAACCTAAAGTGTCATGGAATTCTACTCAGTATCGATCCAGAGCAGATTCCAAGGTATAGTTAGCAGAGTAACAACTTAAACACATTGCAGGATTCCCCCAAAAGTAGACCAGAGGCCACTGTATTTCATCCAGCAGAGCTTTACTGCTACTGAAGGCAAATGAGCATAATGGTCACAAATCCAAATACATTCAGAACTGGCACTGTCCATAAGAAATCCAGTTGCAGCAGACTTAAACTTAAACTTACAATAACTGATAACACATTTTTGTCTACTTGAAGAAGCCATGGTCCGATCTGAAAAATACAAATATTTAGGATACAAAACTGTAAAAATAAAGAAAAATTAAGTTTGCAAAACAATAATTACCATGTAGTTAGGGTAGATCAACGTGTCAGTGTCCACTTATCCCCAGTGTAAATATGACATATCGGCAAAAGTCGGAAATTGAAAGGTAGCCATAGCATGTACACGAAAATCGATTTCAGATTTGAAATCAGCATTGGAAGAACATATAAGAACAGTTAAAAAATCTCATGCAAAAGAAAATGAAATAAATTGTTCCCCAGTACACTGTGTATCCCAAGGGAATACATTTTTTTGCATACCTCCAACTGTACATAGATATACATGTCATTTTCAATGCTATACATGTCACGTTCAATGCTATATAAGTCACTTACACTAATACTCATATTGTACTACTTTGGCTATGTGTTTAATAAAATATTGAATTCTTGCATTGTGAAAAACAAAGATTATGGTGAAAAGTGAAAAACATGAATTGCAAAAAAAACTAGAGCTTACAGAACAAAACCAACTTCAGATATGAAATCAGCACGTTGACATTAGGTTAGAACAACTGCAGGTGTCAATGCAACAAAAATTTTGTTCCCCAGTGTAATAAGTCTAAACTTTAACACTAAGCATACTATGTACAGAACACCACACCAGAAGGAAAAAGAGATAGAAAGAGAAAGTGAAACCGAGGCTCCTTGTGGCCTTATTTTTATAGCCAGCATAACCTTGACGGAAGAGATAACAGGACCAGTTTAAGCCAGCTGTACTCAGCTTCTCTGAAGGAATAAGCCAAACATCACAGACCTTCTGCTTGTTTCTTTCACACTGAGAAGCCTCCAGAACCCTCTTGAATTCATTAGAATGGGAAAGATCTCTACACATCAGATCAATACTTTCTGCACTAAGAAATGCAAACTGGTGGTGTGAGCGTACATCAGAGTTTGCCTCAGAATCAAATCCAGAGACTTTGTTGCATCTTTAATACCTGTGTAGAAGAGCTTGCACTTTGACGTGCTTTCGAACTGCTAGGTTGGCAGGAGCAGGGACCGAGCAACGGGAGCTCACCCCGTTGCAGGGATTTGAACCGCTGACCTTCTGATCCGCAAGTCCTAGGCTCTGTGGTTTAGCCCACAGCGCCACCCGCGTCCCTTTACCTTTAGAAGAATGTGCAAGTAGATAAATAGGGACCGCTCCGGTGGGAAGGTAAACGGCATTTCTGTGTGCTGCTCTGGTTCGCCAGAAGCGGCTTAGTCATGCTGGCCACATGACCCGGAAGCTGTCTGCGGACAAATGCCGGCTCCCTCGGCCTATAGAGTGAGATGAGCGCGTAACCCCAGAGTCGGTCACGACTGGACCTAATGGTCAGGGGTCCCTTTACCTTTAGAAGAGCTTAAGATGCAATAGCTTCATGTTGCTGCAAGAGACAGGCGCTGCTGCAAATGCATCTGACCTCTGCTAGTGGTGATATTGCTTCCTTTCTCTATCCCCGCTTTTATTTGGAGGCGGATGCCTGGAAAGGCTTTTCAGATGTTTGCATCTCTTTGGTTGTGCTGCCATCTTCAGGCTTCTTGGAAGCAGGAAGGAGTATCCGGTAGCAAGCTACTGGCGAGCTGAAAATCTAAGCGCATCCTGCAGTTTCGCTCTGATACACAAGATGGAGGTGTGAACTAAGAGATAAATTAATTTGGGTCGGCTTCTCTGCTTCACTTAGGAATTCTGGAGAGTTTCATTGAAGCTACATAGGCACTATACATTTAAAGCAGAACTACACTACACAACTATCATAGCTTCCCCCATACACATAATCCTGGGAAATGTAGCATGTTCAGGGTTAAAGAGTTGTTAGGAGACCTGTATCCCCTCACAAAACTACAGTTCCCAGTGTTAAAACATTCCAGGAATTGTAGTGGAGACCCCTGATTTGCACTTCTCACCGTATACAAATAGGAACACTCTTAATCCTTCTGGTTTTCCACTTCTCTGAACTTTGTGATACAATTATTGGCTCAAAAATGTACCGAGAGGTTTGTGTATGTGATAAAAGGAGTACATGCCAACAAAGGTCCGTATAGCTAAAGCTATGGTTTTCCCGGTAGTGATGTATGGAAGTGAGAGCTGGACCATAAAGAAGGCTGATCGCCGAAGAATTGATGCTTTTGAATTATGGTGCTGGAGGAGATTCTTGAGAGTCCCATGGACTGCAAGAAGATCAAACCTATCCATTCTGAAGGAAATCAGCCCTGAGTGCTCACTGGAAGGACAGATCTGGAAGCTGAGACTCCAATACTGTGGCCACCTCATGAGAAGAGAAGACTCCCTGGAAAAGACCCTGATGTTGGGAAAGATGGAGGGCACAAGGAAAAGGGGACGACAGAGGACGAGATGGTTGGACAGTGTTCTCGAAGCTACCAGCATGAGTTTGACCAAACTGCGGGAGGCAGTGGAAGGCAGGAGCGCCTGGCATGCTCTGGTCCATGGGGTCACAAAGAGTTAGACACGACTAAACGACTAAACAACAACATGTGTTATTTTGTGGGAGATGTATTTTAAAATAAGAGCAATAGGAAGAAGCTTTGCTCCCTCATTCATAACACTCAGGGTCAGTCATTCTCTCAAAATACAGTGGTACCTCCAGTTGCGAACAGGATCCGTTCCGGAGGTCTGGCCACATCCTGAGAAATTCGCAACTGGAGGACCGCTTCTGCGCATGCACATGGCTCGGTTTAGCACTTCTGCACATGCACGTGGTATAGTTTTTGTCAAAGCTGCAGGGATTTATAATATGTAAAATGAACCAGGGAAAGAGAAGAAGGGAAGTCACTGACATATTAAGGATGTAAAAATGGGTATTTTAAATTGTAAAATAGAAATTTAATAAAAATGATATACAAAAAGAGAGAGAGAGTTTCATGCTCTGCCAATGGAACTTTCCCAGTTTCCCAACAGCTCTGCAGTTGCAGAACAACTGGTAGTCGCAGCTGATTATTCTTTCTGGCAGACATTACTAGGGATTCAAGCCGCTGTAGCTGCTCTTTCTATGGCTGACAGATGGAGTCAAGCTGGTCTTGTCCTGATTGTAATGTTCTTCCTGGAAAGCCTTGGGCTTCTGGCTGGTGGATGGGGCCGGCGTGTGCCTCCCTGCAGTCTTGCAATCCCAGAAGTACTGGGTTTCCGGCAAGGGGTCTCTCCCTGCCCCACCTGGAGATGGTGGGGATTTGACTTGGGATCTTTTCTTACAGCCTCTGGGAACAAAGGGGAAAAAAGAGCAAAAGAGCGGAAGTAGCGATGCCGTGGAAGACATGATCGAGAGCAGGAAGAATGAAGAAACAAACAGATAAAATAAACATCCCTCACAGGATATTTATAGGATACAGAACTCCTTTTGCAGAAATAAGATTTATTAAATGTGTTAATACGAATGGAAGTCAAAAACTCTGTAGCTGTTGATAGGGGATTAAGAACAAGCTTGAATTAATTAAGACTTCAGAAGCAGGATGAAATAAAAACATTCCACTTTGAAATCCAGCACACGGGAGGCCATAAAAAAGGTATAATTGGCTTTATAACTGGTATACAGTAGTACCTCGGGTTACAGATGCTTCAGGTTACAGACTCCACTAACCCAGAAATAGTACCTCGGGTTAAGAACTTTGCTTCAGGATGAGAACAGAAATTGTGCTCCGGCGGCGCGGTTGCAGCGGCAGGCCCCATTAGCTAAAGTCGTGCTTCAGGTTAAGAACAGTTTCAGGTTAAATACGGACCTCCGGAATGAATTAAGTACTTAACACGAGGTACCACTGTATATTTGAATGTGAATTGTAATTTGAGACTGACACAATGTGGCTTTTATTGGATATTAGTAATAGAAAATTTATTTATTAAAAGAACTTGTGATCTTCTCCATGCAAAACCGATGTTCTACCACTGAACTGTAGGACCCACATTGAACAGAAAGGGTTCTTTTTTAAAAAAAATTTATTTGGTTTTTCAGATTAAAATTTTTTAGTCACATATCCAACATACAACATAAAAACAAGATTCCAATGAATCTCCTGGACTTCCCTCCTCCCCTTTGTGGGTCCTATTGTTAATCATTTCCTCCTGCATCTTTTATAATAATCTAAATATTTTACCTCTCCATTGTCCAAAATTCATCATTGAACTACAAGTGATATTCTGATCGTACTAATGATTTTAACTGTTTACAATGGACTTTAAGATAAGTTATAAATTTCCCCCCTCATTGAAATTCTGATTTTCCTGATTTCTGATTCTTCTAGTTACTTTAGCTATTTCAGCATAATCCATCAACTTGATCTGCCATTCTTCTCTGGTCAGGACTTTTGTCTGTCATGATCTCCAACCCACATGGACTTCAGATGACGTATTGGGAAAGGGGGCAAAATTAAGTATCCTAAGCCATCATGGTGTTTCAATAAACATCTCTAGAGGGTGCTGGCAGACTTGGTAAGATCCACTCTGTGCAACCAGGCAGAGGGGGCTGAAATAGCATGATGTTGGAGAGCACTAACCACATCCTCCTCTTTCTCACATGATCCGCTGCCACCACATATCCCTTGGGACAGATTATGCATTGGGGAACTGCTCTGGTCAATGCTTTGTTGCTTCGAGAAAACAAGAGTTTAAAACAGGAAAACGGGAAGCTGCCTTATACAGTGGTACCTCGGGTTACAGACGCTTCAGGTTACGTGTTTTCGGGTTTCGCACAGAACCAAACCCGGAAGTACCGGAATGGGTTACTTCCGGGTTTGGGCGCTCGCGCATGCATGGAAGCCCTAATTCGTGCTTTTCACTTGTGCAGAAGTGCCGAATCATGACCTGTGCATGCTCAGACGCGGCACTGCGGGTTGCGAAGGATGCGGGTTGCGAACGTGCCTCCCGCACGGATCCCGTTCGCAACCCGAGGTTCCACTGTACTCAGTCCAATCCTTGGTTAATCGAGTTCAGTGCTGCCTTCACTGACTGGCAATAGACATAAGAGAATATCACCAAGGTAACTGCCAACAAACAACAAACGTATTTTTCATTTTAATTTTCCTTATTCTACTTGCTGATTCAGTGCAATTCTGTTACAATAGTTTTTGACAGCGATGAAACGTGGGTGGAGACTGCCTCTCCATCCTGACCCTTCCAGGCTGGAGGAAGACCGTATAGATCTACAACAGGGGTTTGAGGGAAGTCACAACTCAGAGGCAGATGAGGAGGAAAGTTGGGAAATCATGGGAGAGGAGGAGGAGGAGGAGGAGGAGGAGGAGGAGGAGGAGGAGGAGGCTGAAGCGGAGCAACGCCTGGCTGACACAGTGTCATTAGAAAGCATCCCTGACCCTCCATCTCCCAGTACCCGGCAAGCCTTAAAAGTAGGAGAGCAAAGAGCTCAAAGATAGAGGGCACGTAGCAGCACCCGTAGAAGTAAAGAATGAGGAAGTGGAAGAGACGGGGGGTGGAGATTCACTCGGGACAACGCCATTATCCAAGAGGCTGAGTTCTGTAGCCTCTCTCTGTAATATTGAAATAAAAAAATGTGGTAAGAAACATTTCCTTGTCTTTCTACCTTCCTGGACAGCTAGCTGGGAGCCGCTGACACCCCCAGGCTGTGCACTTAAATTCCTTCAGCCAAATTGCCATCTTCATTATAGAACACAGGAAAGTGTTTCATACTGAGTCAGACCATTGGTCTACCTAGCTCAGGATTGCCTAAACTAAGTGGCAGCATCTCCTTGGGTTTTCAGACGCGAAGTCTCTCCCAGCCTGATAATGCCAGGAATTGAACCCGGGAGCTTCTGCATGCAAAGCAGAGGCTCTGCCACCAAACTCTAACCCTTCTTCATGTGCATTGGAGCAGGATCAGCACCCAATCAACAAGAAGCAGATTTGCATGCAGAGAACCCCAGGCAACTTTGGTAGGCTTTAAGAATGGGGAGAAAAGCTATCCCAATGCACCATTTGTCACAGCAAAGATCACTCCTCTGCAATGAACATCATGGCCTGGTTTCCCTTCCTTCTGGCCCTCACTTATTGCTCAGGTGATGAGAGACCCATTCCTCATTTCTGTTGGATGCTAGACTTTCATTTCTCCTATCAACTTATCTGCAGGAAGATTTGTCATTGCATTGTCTTAGACTGGACTTTGAGCCTTATTAGTTGATATGATGTGCAGTCTAATAAGTCAGTGTTCCTGTCAGAGTTGCATGTATGTGTTTACCAGATTATTTCCACATCTGTGTAACACCATGATTTAAAAAAAAAATTTCTTCTTCTTTCAGGTTCTGTTGCCGAGTATGTACTTACACAACCCCCATCTGCCTCTGTGTCTTTGGGGCAAACTGTGGAACTCACTTGCTCAGGGGATAAGTTTGATAGGTACTTTGTGCGCTGGTACCAGCAGAGACATGGCAGTGCCCCTCAACTGGTTATATATATGGACAGCATAAGACCTACCAATATTTCAGACCGCTTTTCTGGAGAGAGCTCTGGCGGCACAGCCACCTTAACCATCACTGATGTCCAACAGCAAGATGAGGCTGACTATTACTGCCAAGTCCGGGACGAAGATGCTAGCCAGCAAGCACAGTGGCCCCATCAAAGGAGGAAGTGAGGCAAAAACCTCCTGCTGTCAAAGAGAAATGTCTATGTTTGTTAGCTGAGTGCAACAGAAATACTGTCACCACTCGCAGCTCCCAGTGATTTGCACTGAGTGGTATATTGCCTCTGATAACGGAGGTAGAATTTAGCTGTCATTTTTGTAGCCATTAACAGCCTTATCATCCATAAGTCCTTCCACAGAGGGACTACATTTTTAAATATATCCTATTTCTTAAAATAAAAAAAGGAAACTCTGCTGAAAGTATAACAGCAGAAGGAGTAGGCCAGGTTAGAACTCTTCCCTGTAATATCTTCGCTTTCTTTTTAAAGCACTATTTTAAAAATAATATTGGAGCAGCATTCAAAAATGGCACAGATACCTAACTGCAATCAAATGTGAAGGTAAAAATAAAGGACCCCCTGGATGGTTAAGTCCAGTCCAAGGCAACTATGGGGTGTGGTGCTCATCTCACTTTTCAGGCCAACGGGACACCATGACAGTTCGAAGTTTGGCGGTTTGAATCCATGTGATGGAGTGAGCTCCCATTTCTCTGTCCCAGCTCCTGCCAACCTAGCACTTAGAAAGCACACCAGTGCAAGTAGATAAGTAGGTATCACTGTGGCAGGAAGGTAAATGGCATTTCTGTGCCCTCTGGTTTCCATCACGGTGTCCCATTGTGCCAAAGCAGTTTGTCCTGCTGGCCACATGACCCAGAAAGCTGTCTGTGGACAAAGGCTGGCTCCCTCGGCCTGAAAGCAAGATGAGTGCCACACCCCATAGTCGCCTTTGACTGGACTTAACTGTCCTGGGGTCCGTTACCTTTTTTTAAAAAAATAACAACCTATGGAGCCCTGGCCAATGGCAAGGGTGATTATTACTGTGCAACGACACATATGGTGATGCAGCCTGATGGGGAACTGAGACAGAAACCTGTATTTCTCTTCCCTAAGGCAAGAATAAATTTAGAATTGTGTTCACTTATGATGCAAACAAACCGTCAAAGTACAGGCACCTCCGCATTTGCACACGATTGGCCCATGCATGACTGCTGATGCACATGCTATTTTTGGCACTGCAAAGGGGCAGAACAGGGTGGAACAGGTGTATGGCATGGCATGGAATGGTGCCACACTTGTAGAATTCAGTGGGGAAATGTGTTGGTATTGCATACTCTTGAGTAAAGGTAAAGGTAAAGGGACCCCTGACCATTAGGTCCAGTCGTGGCCGACTCTGGGGTTGCGGCGCTCATCTCGCTTTATTGGCCGAGGGAGCCGGCGTACAGCTTCCGGGTCATGTGGCCAGCAGGACTAAGCCGCTTCTGGCGAACCAGAGCAGCGCACGGAAATGCCGTTTACCTTCCCTCCGGAGCGGTACCTATTTATCTACTTGCACTTTGACGTGCTTTCGAACTGCTAGGTTGGCAGGAGCAGGGACCGAGCAACGGGAGCTCACCCCGTCGCGGGGATTCGAACCGCCGACCTTCTGATCGGCAAGTCCTAGGCTCTGTGGTTTAACCCACAGCGCCACCCGTGTCCCATTGACTCTTGAATACCTCCAAGGGAAAAAATACTGCCTGTACTAAACTTTTGGTGGAGTCAAGAGCTTAAGAAGACACCTGTTGGATCAGGCCCAAGGCTCATCCTAGTGTTGCATCCTGTTCGCACAACCGCCAACCAAATGTCTAGAGGATTGACCACAAGCAGTGATCAATATAACCTAAAGTGTCATGGAATTCTACTCAGTATCGATCCAGAGCAGATTCCAAGGTATAGTTAGCAGAGTAACAACTTAAACACATTGCAGGATTCCCCCAAAAGTAGACCAGAGGCCACTGTATTTCATCCAGCAGAGCTTTACTGCTACTGAAGGCAAATGAGCATAATGGTCACAAATCCAAATACATTCAGAACTGGCACTGTCCATAAGAAATCCAGTTGCAGCAGACTTAAACTTAAACTTACAATAACTGATAACACATTTTTGTCTACTTGAAGAAGCCATGGTCCGATCTGAAAAATACAAATATTTAGGATACAAAACTGTAAAAATAAAGAAAAATTAAGTTTGCAAAACAATAATTACCATGTAGTTAGGGTAGATCAACGTGTCAGTGTCCACTTATCCCCAGTGTAAATATGACATATCGGCAAAAGTCGGAAATTGAAAGGTAGCCATAGCTTGTACACGGAAATCGATTTCAGATTTGAAATCAGCATTGAAAGAACATATAAGAACAGTTGAAAAATCTCATGCAAAAGAAAATGAAAAAAAAAAATGTTCCCCAGTACACTGTGTATCCCAAGGGAATACATTTTTTTGCATACCTCCAACTGTACATAGATATACATGTCATTTTCAATGCTATACATGTCACGTTCAATGCTATATAAGTCACTTACACTAATACTCATATTGTACTACTTTGGCTATGTGTTTAATAAAATATTGAATTCTTGCATTGTGAAAAACAAAGATTATGGTGAAAAGTGAAAAACATGAATTGCAAAAAAAAAAAACTATAGCTTACAGAACAAAACCAACTTCAGATATGAAATCAGCACGTTGACATTAGGTTAGAACAACTGCAGGTGTCAATGCAACAAAAATAGCTCAGGGGCAGATAAGGGGAAATATACAATATACAATGTGACACTAGATGGCGATGGTGAGCCTTATAGAAAATTCAATGTATTTTTAAAAAACTTTTAAAAAAGAATTCTCAGAACATTTGTTATATGTGTTTTGAATCCATCTTAGATACAAACCTAGGTAATACATATTAGTAACATAACAAATACCTGCCTGTCTTTTATGTTTAATCTAGCAAGGGCAAGTACACCAAGCAAAGGTTATTTATTATTTAAACTGTAAAAGAGAGTGTCTTGCATAGCTTTTATAAAAGTGAAAAGGGAATTAACTAAAGGGTCAAACAACCTGGGCTCTCTTCCACATAACACTGCAAATGGGAACTAGAGTTTAATTCCCACAAGATGCCCCTCCCCCCAAAAAAGTGTTCACCCTTCATTTTCTACAGTGCCATAGCATGCATTTTATCCTCAGGGGTGGAGAGGAGGGTGTGCTGGGTTTTCAAGGGAAATGATTTGAATGTAGGGCTGGGTCACAAGATCGAAAAGATTTAAGAGAGCAGAGAGACGGGTCTGAAGCAGAAACCTCTGTGCCTTAAGGAGGGAGAGCTCCTCTGCGTTCCCATCATGCTCTGGGCCTGCCTCTTCCTCACCTATTTCTCAGGTAGGAGAGAGAAAAGTCTTTCTTTCTTTCTTTCTTTCTTTCTTTCTTTCTTTCTTTCTTTCTTTCTTTCTCTCTTCTGAACAGAAGACCCAAGAGGAGTCTAACGCGTCATGAGATATTTTGTCTCTTTCTCTTTCAGGATCTTTGGCTCAGTATGTGTTGACGCAGCCCGCATCAGTGTCCGTGTCTCTGGGACAAGATGGCCAAATCACTTGTTCTGGGAACAACATTGGGAGCAAATATGTGCAGTGGTACCAGCAGAAACCCAGCCAGGCCCCTGTACTGCTAATGTATTACAATGATCAGCAGGCCCACTGGGATCTCGGACCGAGTCTCTGGCACCAACTCTGGCAACACAGCCAGACTGAGCATTGCCAGAGCCCAAGTAGAGGATGAGGCCGATTATTACTGCCAGGTGTGGGACAGCAACACACCTCACAGTGACACAGGCAGATGGGGAAGTGCGACAAAACCTCTTGCTGAAAAAAGGCAGCTGCTATCATACTCTGTCTTCAGAGGAGGGACCTTCCAGTGGAATTGAATTTTCACGAAAAGAGGCTTATTCGGACTGCCTTGCCATTCCAACCCCCAAATCCCCACTTTTCCTAGAGTTACACTTGTTTTTTTACCTCACTCCCTTATTTAATGAGGGAAAGCAAATGAAGGGGGTTCACTGAGGTAGAGAATTTAGCATAGACTTCAAGTGTGCATCGGAAATAGACAGCAGGTCTATGCCGGGCCACAGAGAGGCTTATTTTGTCATTATTTAGAGCATTTGTACCCTGCTCTTTGGTCAAAGAGGCTCCCAGAGTGGCTTACATACAAGCAATTGAAACCAGACACTCCTTCCCCATAGGGTATAAGCTCAGGAAAACCACGACACACAAGGCAAAAGGAACAGGGAGGGCAGAGGAAAATATACATCCAACTCAGGCACCAATGTCTAAACAGTTGTGCCTATAATGACCAGCTGGCCTAGTTT